ATATGCAGAAGGACTGAACAAAAGGTGCTGTGGTCACGATATTCAAGAAAGGCCGTTGCTCTAATCCAACAACTGCAGCAGCATCAGCTTATTATCCATCACTGCTACAGTATTAATGCATGTTACGGTGCGCAGAGCTACTTGGTGAAATGCAGTCTCAATTGAAGACAAACAAAACAAGTTTCACCAGATATTCACAGCTAGATTGCTAACAGAAAATCAGAGAGAATAGAAATCCAAATTCTTTACACTCTCGCTTGATTTCTCCAAAGCTTTTGACTAAATCTGGAGGGATTGCTTGTGGAAAGTTGGTGAAAGGTATGGAGTCACACCAAAGATTACTCTTATGATTAAAAACACGCATGATGTTTCTCCGACTTGATGGTAATTTCAGCAAGTTCTTTCATGCAAGGTTTTCAGTGTGGCAAGGAAAATTGGAATCTCCACGGCTGTTTCCGTTCGATATTTGTTGACTGGGTGCTTCCACCAATATGGAGGAGGGAAACTGCGACACCAAGAGTGGGGACGGGGGTAACATCTGCATAAGCTCACTGAAATCACTTTGCTTGCATACGATTTCGAAGCTGCGACATCACCGTTCCAAACTCTCAAAACAGAGGTGTTTTGATCCGAGTCTCTCGACTCGCTTAAGGAAGATGAGGTGGTGTGAAGTGGTAAAACCCGGACCAAACACTTTCTGACACTTAATGCCGAAGTTGTGAAAAGAGTGTCAGAGCATGCGAATCTTTGGAATGCATTTACTGCAGACGGGCGCGTGGCAAACGAAATTGAGAAGCCCTTTGCTTTGGCATTATAGCACCGAGCTATAAGTTATTCACGCTCTCGGACGACAGGGATGTTGGCAAGGAGACAAAGTTGCAGGCATACAGGGCTTAAATTCTGAGATCTTGTTCTATGGCCTGTAGAGGCAGTAAACGAATAATTAAAATAGACGGAAATGGTGTTAAACTCGCTCGCATGTATACAGCTAGTGTGACCGACTGGCTTTAAGATGATGGGACCATTGACAACGAATGAACGACAACCGATTTGCGAAGCGAGTTCTGAATACAACGCGTTATTGCGCGTGGTCGCTAGAAAGACCTTTAGCAAGACGGAAGGCTCTTGTCAGAAGTTGTTTATCACACCTTTATTCATTCTAAATAAAATGTCAGAACAGTACAGTACCCAACGCTGCCTTCGATGCAGTGGTATGGGAAGAATAGGCCATTAAACATGATGTTTTTCAGCTGAATCAAAAAAGAAACAGAAAGGAAACAATAGGCAATATACACAAGGAATTCAGTTACATTGTGCTGATATCTAAGGCAGGTGCAACTGCTCGGTAGAGTGACCATTTATTAGGCCTGTTAACAATCATGCTCATGCGGTAAAACGGTTGACTTCCTGTAATCTGCGGTCCAACTGCTTGATGTACATCGATTTGGTATTACTAACACCG